AAAACAAAATCAAAAATATGAGAGTGTATATTTGTAAGAGAGCCGCCACACGAAAACAGAGCATCAGGAATTTTACAGCTAACTTTATGACAACATACCTGTACCTCATGTATTCAAAAGAATATAATTATATTAACTATAACAATCACTCTACTTACTGATAATAGTTATTATAACCATTACACTCACTCTACTTACTGATAATAGTTATTATAACCATTACAATCACTCTACTTACTGATAATAGTTATTATAACCATTACAAAAAAATTGTATTCACCTCAGTACAGGGACGATATGCAAAAGCAACACACTGAGAAGACATGCTGTTTCTTTGATAAAAATCCAGCACTTTCTTCCTGGAATCACAGAAAGAACTGTCTTTATTTATTTATCAAATTTGAATGTGTTGTTGTGATAAAACTTGTGCAGATAAATGAGGAGTTTTAGTTGAGCTCCATCAAAAGTTGATGCATGTGTTTGGATGTTTTGGGAGTAGGCATGAAAAGTTTGGCTCTGTAAGGTTGAAAGAACTGAAGAGGAACTCTGCTCCAAATCTATCCATCTCCCGGCCTCCACAGTTCTAGTCGTAAAAGATGGGTTTGATCGGTGGTCGGCAGAGGGTTGAAAGGGAGAGGTAGTTTCCTAACAGATAAAATGAACTACCTACTTGTCATGTGATGTAATGGTGTTTAATGACGAGCCATCCCAGAAGTCTGTGCAAGCATCCAGCACAAGATCAGGTGTCCCTTGACTCAATAACTGATGCGACCCTGGAATAATCAATATAAGCATTGCAAATACATATTAAATTAACAACAAAAAATTAATCGATTTTCAGAACTCTGGATTTTGAAGAAGTTATAAAATATAACCCAGGAAGAAATGTAATGATACCAGTGTAAGCTTCCTTGACTATGAGTGACACCATGGCTGGGACAGGTCGCTCTTTACACACAGCAAGATAAGATGATGACTGCAGTGGACAGTCAGCCACAGGAGTCTATAATTATTATCAAAATCAAAATATTTACAACCACTTTCATAATATACCTCATAACCTTGGGCATAAATGTTATCCCATGTCAGACAACAAAAATATTCTTTATTCGAGTTGTATCCATATTCATGTGTCTTCTCGTGTGCAACCCATTAAACAAAGAAATGATACTCTAGGTAATGACACATGGTTTGAAATGGGTAAACATTACACCCAGGATAAAGATGTCTATTAGATGGCTAACACAGCCACAGACATCCAAGTTTTTAGCTCCTGTCAACGAAAAATTCTAACCCAGCAACTGAAAATTTGATTGACAGATGCCAAAAACCCAAATGTCTGGAATTACAGCTGATTGTCTGGGTCATGATATTATGAATATGGATATAAGAATATACAAAATCCAACTATAATGACCAGTTTGAATAAGTATTGTTCTGCACTTACTAGCAATGACAATAGCCTTGTGTTATCACATGGAAACATAAATTAAAGTGTTTTCACATGTATGAGAAGCTAGTCAGTCATTAGTCATTTCAGAAGTTATTCAAATTGGTCTCCAAAGTTCAATTCACTGTATAATGATGTGAAAAGGAGACTTAGAATGACTTCAAATCAGATCATTTCTTTCTAGATCTATTTTGGGCTGGCATAATGTTTTTGAATATTATTAACTAGACAAAAAAATTTTTTTGATTGATTCATATTGTCATATATTGTTGATAGTGACTCACATCCAGAGAATGGACGACAACAATATGTTGCTTCTTGCTGAACAGGTTTAATGCTTGTTCTGTGAATCCTATCTCTTTACCCAGCAAGCACAGACATCTTGAACAAAATCAATCAAAGAAACTACTCAACATGCGAGCACCAGGAACTGCAGAGAGGAAGAGGGTAGAGCTTATAGCTCCCCATCACATTGTGTTAGTGAAGTGAAGTTTAAAGTCTTAAGTTCGGCACACACTAGGGAGCTAGCTCCCACAACATGCTAGGGAACAAAGCTCCCTCATCTGTACCAACTTTTTCCGGCAGGGAAAAATGTTGCGCAGCAAAACTTTTGCTTCCAGGCTTTGCTCCCTCATATCAAAATGGTTAAAATTTAATATGATGGAGCAAGAAGCTTGAGGAGCAAATCTGTTGCAAAATAGTTCACATGTGGCAACCGCAGGGCTCGAACCAGTGACCCCACTTGTTTGACTCACACCTGTAAAAGATGACGTGTTAGCTGCGAACACCATCCATGCTACCCATCTATTCATTTTAGTCTTTCCATATGGAGGGGGTTGTCAAATTCCCTGTCCCTGGCCCCCCACCCATTACTCCATCCACTATATGGGCTTTGCAGCATCACATGATGGCAGCCATGACAGGAGGCAGGAACAATTGAATAATAATATGGTCTAATCTGATTTACATGAGAAAGAATTAATTTTCCCAGGGGAAAAAAACTATAACAATTATTGTTGTGCCTCTTGTCATGGCTGCCATCACGTGATGGTGCAAAGACACTATAATAATTTATCATCAATCCTCTCAGATATTTAAACTAGTGAAAGTGTTGTGTTGTTTTTAACCAACCTTCTTGGATTCAAGACAGGAGAAGGATTACGAGAAAGAGATAGATGTGCTGTGTGGTCAACAAAGCGCATTGCACGAACAGGACAGGCACAGGGAGAGTTGAGTAGGATATTCAAACCCTAGATCAAAACAAACCAATATAGGTAAGATTAATACATGTAATAAGACACCTTGGGTATAGGCAAAGTTTAAAGATTTCGTTTTAACTTCATATCATTTAATTATTCATGCTGATGATGGTAACTACCAGTAATCCTGAATTTGAGAGCACGCAGCAAGTGTGTACACTTTCTATTGAGTCATTACTTTTTCTAACAACACTTTTCAAATGTTCTGCCAACCTCCATGTGCTTACAAAGCACTGGGATGTGCTTTTAATTGCTATTTTAGTTACTTCTTCATCATGTGTTCATGTGTGGAAAGAATCAGTTTAAGTCTGACACATGCGAAAGCCGTAAAAAGTACTAATATTAAATATATTAATACTCAATACATAATATATTACCAAAGGTTTCAAAGAACTAAGATATTCAGGCCATCTCTTGTCATCAAACCTCAAACCAAACTGACTCTGAAAAAGAAATATATAAAATGTACATAAATGTTTGCACTGTGCATTGCATTTCCCCTATAGTCAAGGCGTTAAAGATTTTACCAGGGAACTTGAGGAAAAGGGGTGGGGTCACTGGTACTACAGATATACTGTGAAATTTGATCAAAGTCACCCCTTTTACCATCTCTGGATCCCCCCCTGTAAGTATGAGCCTTAGTTCGGATCAACATACATCAGGATCTGTGGTGATGTTCAACACTGCTGCTCTTCCCTTCAAGTGACTTCCTGCAATAGAAAAAATATTATATAATAATAATTATTAATGATTCATTGATGGATTTGAGTCTATTAGCTTTTGTAATGATGTTTGTAGAGGGGCAGAACTACAAAATAGAATCTGATTGACAGTGCAATAGACCGTTCCTAAATTTGAAATTTGCTTGTTTGACTAGCTCTTAGTTACTGTTGCTATATGCCAATTTAAATGATTATAGATTGTTTCAATTCTTAAATCAGTGTCCTGTAAAAACAAAATAAAATTGCCTCATAAACCTTGTTAAGTACTCTTTAAAACAGATACTGTTTGGTTGTTTGTGGGACAAGATTTCAATACCACTGAGAAAACTACTGCAAAGGTGATTGCTTTGCTATTGTCTGAATCAGAACCTTGAATTAGAGTAATTTAATCTTTTATGAAGCTAATTTTTAATGATTGTAAATTAGTTTAGTATTAGTTAGTTTAGTATTAAGTTCGGTTTTAATGATTGTAAATTAAATGCGTGTATTTCATTATAAGTTATATTGTGGCTGAAAAGCCTTCTCAAAGGGAGTACACATACATATGTATGTAGGTGTGTCTGTGTTGCCTCAGGTCAAGGCTGGACTTGATAAAATACTGACACTAAAGGTAAATACATCATGTCCAACCTTGGAGCCCTTGTTTTATTGTCACTCATTTGTCAAGGGAATTCTGGAAAGGTCTATTGCCATAACACATGGAAGTATTTCAGTATTCCATACCATCTTCAGCTAATGTGTAATCATCATCATCATCTGATGATGATGATGACGTATCATCATTGTTGCCTTCATCTCGACTGGTTTGTCTGCTCACGTCACTTGACTCCCAGGTACAAGAGCTTATCTTACGATCCCTCGATGCCAGTGTGTTTCTTTGTTTTACTGATTTTTTACTTTGAAGGAAGAAGACCTTTTCTACAGAGGGATTAGGGAGAGATAAGATGCCATCCTTGTCTATACAACACCAGACCTGGATGGTGTAGCAAAGAAAAGTAGTAATAAGAAGCCTTGCTGAACACTGTTGGTGATGATGATGGTGATGATGATGATGATGGTAGTGGTGATTGACAATGATAGATGATAGATGATGGTGATTGATCATAATAGATGATGACGATGATTCATGATGATTCATGATGGTAGTGGTGAGTAATTATGATGATTCATGTTGGTGATGATGATGATGATAATGATTGATGTTGATGTTGGTGATTAATGATGATAGATGATGATGGTTATTGATTCTGGCAATGATGCTTATGATGGTGATGATGGTGGTGATTGATGATGATAGATGATGATGATGATGCTAATGATGGTGATTCTGATAATGATAATGATGATGATGGTGATTGATGATGATAGATGATGATGATGATGCTAATGATGGTGATTCTGATAATGATGGTGATGGTGGTGATTGATGACAGATGATGTTGATTCATGATGGTAGTGGTGAGTGATGTTGATGATGATTCATGTTGGTGATTATGATGGTTCTGATAATGATTGATGTTGATGATGGTGAATGATGCTTATGATGTTGATGCTGATGCTTATGATGTTGATGCTGATGATGCTTATGATGGTGAAGTGATCATATTATCAGAATTGACAAAATGAATTAATCTGAATATAAACCATACCGTTATATTCCCAAGAACCTGAAGCAAGTTAGAAGTACGAGGAAGATACGATGGATCACCAGTAAAAGTTTTCCAAAACAAGGGAAGTACATCTCTGACTGGAAAGTTTTTCAACACCTGAATATATATAATCCAAATATAGTGTTTAGCGTGTGGTTTCCAGAGGTGGCGATAGCGAATATTGTTATGCATACGATTGTTGGCCTAATTTAAGGTCCAGCTAGCGTGATCACATGGATAGTTAGTGATTGAGTTGACCCATAAGAAACCAACAGCGTTGATCGATATCACAGTGACTACCGATCAATTAGTTTGCATGTGATCATGATAGTGTGAGTTTAACGTATGTAGGTGGCCAGCAGGCAGACAACAAATGGAAACAGTGGCTATCATAGACTACTGCTACTCAGATCGAGACTAACTTTGCATAAATTTCATTTAACCACATATGAAATATCAAAAATGACAATGAATTAATTGGAATTCCTATTTAAGTTGTTTATATCAGTATGTTTTGTGGTAGGTTGTAATCCCCTTCACGGTTCCTTGCACCATCTTGAAAGGTAACCGTGCATGAGCTTTGAAGCAAGAACAGCAGCGACCTTGCAATGTCAGAGACATGTGAATTTTATAATTTTTCCAAGGTGTTAAAAAAAGGTATCTTTGCAACTTAGGTCACTGCTGTTCTTGCTTCGATGGACCTGCACAATTATTTTTCAAGATGGCAAAGGGAATTGTGAAGTTAGTGGACTTTTCCCAAACAAACCAAAACAAAAGTCCTTATTTCTTCATTAAAACAGCCTCAGTGTGAGCACAAGCACAGGTACTTGCCATAGGTAAAACTTTATGGTTGCATGCTAGTGAAAACCAGGCTTTAGAACAATTGACTGACAAGAGGGTGCTACATTTGCGGCTTTATAATTAGCTTTGAGTGGCATACATGTGCTTCCTTCTTAGAGATTCAATACTAACCTTTGTATCACTTTGAGAATTTTCCCGGAGCTTATCAAAAACAATCTTGATTCTAGAAGCACTGTATAAGTTAATGGAAATCCATAATATTGGAAAGGACAATGGAAGAAGAGGAAGAATGACATAACCCTGTTGATAGAAGAAAACTGGGGTTTAAAAAACATCAAGGAATAGCCCACTTCCAAACTATGCTTCGCTTGTCATGCACAAAGGTTTCAATGCAATGATGACATATGCATAGCTACATCGTGTCTGTCGTGATAATAATAATAATAAGGAATAATTTATATAGCGTCGATATCCTTAAGTTCAAAGACGCTTTACAATATAAAAATGTGACTCAATAAATTTAAAATTGAAAATAAATTTAAGAAAAGAATTACTATTTCATGAATAAGAGTGAGTAATAAAACATGCCCATAATACATATCATTATCAACATATTTCAAATAAAATTCATTGCATTTCAATATATACATTACACATTTTTTTAAAAATTCAAATAACAATACATTGATTTAGATTGGTGATGTATGTCCAGGGTCTTACTTACCTGTAGAAGTAGGACCATTTCACTCCTGTGTCCAATGCCATTGGTCAACAGGAGGAACCTTGTTATATTTATCAAAAACGAAAGACCCTGAACAATAAATAGAAAACGTATTTCTTTTTTGGACTCCAAAACCATAAGACCTTTATTATACAGCATTCATGTTTATTCCCAATAGAATGAAAATCTTTCATATTATTTAAGCTACACTTTTACTGGGGAGGGAGAGGGGAGAGCTTTATTGGGGATAGAGGGGGGCTTTACTGGGGAGGGAGGGGGAAGGGAGGGCTGGGGGATTTGCAGTAAACTTTTTTAAAATAATTACAGCCCCCTTTCACTCTATATAAAAGAATCATGAGCCTTCCATTAAGTCAACAAAGAACTAGCATTTATCAAAATAAAAAGGTCTGACCCTCCACAAGAGTTCAAATTTTTACTGATGAATTTTAACTGACTTCACTTTTACTGAATTGTCCCCTTTTCTCTGAAGCACCAGCCCTCCCCAAATTACAGTATCTCCTCTTAACAAGCCGGAGTAAAATCAACCTCAAGTGAATTGATATAGCAAGGCTACGGTTAAAGGCCTACATGTGGAAAATCTATAGAAAATGTTCAAGATGGCTACTACATGAGAAAGGTTCATAGAACAATTCTTTCTCGAAAGAATATCGCAGATTTGTAAGAAGAAAAAAGATCTGATCCAGAAGAAACCCCTCAAATGCTACTCTTGCCATTGGGTGGGGAGACAAAGGTGTTATAGTGGTTGTTGATGTACAATGTATTTACTTACTAGGAGTATCAAGAGAAACCTCTTTTCTATGATAGTACTGGCAATGAAATGTTTTTCATTCTCTAATATGCTTACGGGTCTATTTGAAGAATTCTTTAACAAGAAACTGGAAGATGAATGAAATCATATTCAATAAATGAAGTGATGCATGGAATATGAGACATGAGAATGAATGGAAAAGCAATGAATGAAATTAAATGGATGAATGAATGGCTAGATGAATGGAGAGAATGAATAGGTGGATCAATGAGATTGGATGGGTAAGAATCAAAGGAATGGATAGATGAATGAGTTTGTAGGTGAATGGGATAGATGGGATGGATGAGAATGGATTGGATAGAATGGAACAAATGAACAGATTAATGAAGAATGAGTTTCATTAATGGGATGGATGGATGAACAAAAGAAAAGACTTCCAATTGATATCTATATTAGAATAACTGTCTTTAAAAGTGGCAAAGGTCACTAAAGTGTTAAATATATAGTTACTTAAGAGTAGCCTTGAATGGAGCTTCTTTGACAATGAACATCTTTCTCGGTTTTGGCTGACAAGGATGTGCTGTATCATCTAGAAGCCAAGAAATAAATTCACATTCTTTGTTATTCCAAACTTTTAAAACACTAAGTAAACAAAAAATAAACTGGTATGTAGGAGAAATATAGACTGGGTCTAACCTGTAGATTTTGATGATGGTAAATCTGGGTTGTACATCTCTCYTTTCTCCAGTACTAGCACCTGCTGTTGTTCATTTGATGCATCTTCAGCATTATATTTTGTATTCTGCAAGGAATTAAATCAAGAATCTGTTGTGATTAGCATTAGTGATTAGGAGTGGTAAACGCATTAGATTTTTAGGTTAGCATAAAATTCCAACTATAAGGCTTAGGCTTGTACAGGTTTTTAAAGAGGCCTCATAATAGGGACCTTAAGCTGCAGGACGGCAACGTGGTTGACAATTTGGGTGACAACGTCGGCAAAATATTGAGGCGCTTCAACCTTCTATTGTATTATTATTTCATGTTTACCTAGTATTTCACTCAATAAGCATCCCCCTTTTATGGTAAAATGACGTCTTTTGGGATCCCTTCACTTAAAACGAAAATCAGCAAAGATAAGCTTTTGGCGTAGTTGTTCTCTTTAGTACGTAAAAATAGGACATTTCACGCCTTACTTTTAGCATAAGACGGCAATAATGCACAGTGTTTTGTACATTCCAAGGAATGTCTATTGAATAGCACAATTAGTGCTATTGTATGCTTGCAGTCGCCGTCGCCATTGCCGTCCTGCAGCTTAAGGTCCCTAATAAACTTGGAGGGGGGGAGGGGGGGCATATATTTTAGTTTGGGTTGGGGTTCTTATAACTGGAGGAAAAAAGAATCATGGATGAAAAGAAAACAGTACTTTCTTTCTTTTATTTTTACAGCCAATCATTAATGTGTCATTAATGCCATACAAGGAATCGAAATATGGCATTAACCGATTTGAATGACTATTGTTCTGCACTGACTAGGGACTGAATAGCCTCAAGTTCATGAGGAAACATAAAGGCATTTTCACGTGTATTAGAGGTTATTCAGCCTTCACTAGTCATTCCAGAACAGTGCATAAACTCAAGATAGTAGAGGTGTAATTATAATAGCTGGGAGGATATTACATTAGCATACTGGTGTCAGAGCTTATAACTGGGTTTTTAGGGTTAGTGAAAACTTACCTCAATGAGCTCAACACAGGCTGGTGCTGATTGGCTGGGGCCAAGGACAATAATGTCGCCATGAACCAATAAATTACAAGGAACATTTACAAGCTCGCCATCACGGTACACATGTGTCAAGGATATGGATGGCGAGGATGGAGTGCAAGGATCAATGTAGTCTGGGGGGTTCCAGTTACAATACCCTAAGGGGAATAACAATAAAGACTTTATATGAATTAGTGAAATGGATCGATGTTTGGGTGGATGGACAAATAGATTGATGGATAGATGCATGGATGGGTGGGTGCATGAATGGGTGGGTGGGTGGGTGGATGGGTGGATGGATAGACAAACGGATAAATAAATGAGAAGAAATATAGGAAGAACTGGATGGTAGAATGAAAGATGGATGAAAGGAAGGAAGGAAAAAGACAGAATGAAAGTTAAAAACTTGATATACCTGCACAATTTTCAAGTATGGATTTAATACTTTCGTACACCTCTCTACGTCTTAGGCTTTCTTCACGCACACATAATACAACATTGGCTACAGCTATTAGGAACACTATTAGTCCTTCTATGAATGGCAGACTGGATCTACAATGGAATATTTTTCACAGTGAGGCAAGCTACCCAAGCTATGTAGATCAGAAAAGTTTAAAAACATTTAAGGTATTTTATGTCTTGAAGATCTTAAAGTGCACCTAACCCCTGATACAATACTTTCAGTATTGATTCTGCATAAAGTGAATATACTTTTAAGTATAATGATGATGCTTTGTAAAAGCTGTTTGTGTGAACCAGTCAAAAGTTGTATACTTATAAAGCCTGGGGTGACGTCACAGTCAGTAACATAATGGAAGTATAAACTTTTATAACTAAAAGATGGCGCAACATTCAAATGAAGAAATATTTCGCCATTCAACTATTCACTTTATGCAGAATCAAAACTGAATGTATTGTATCGGGGTTTAGGTGCACTTTAAGGACCATTTAAGAAACATAAAAAGTTCTTCAACGAAGATATATTTACCTTTTTTCTGGTAAAACTCCATATGTAATTATCAACGCACACAATTCGAAGAGAAAAAAGACTATACTAGTCCAGCTAACTGAAGAATGAGGGTTACTATTAAGGGTTGTCCATATATCTTTAGTCCATCTTGCTTTGCAGGTGAAGTTGAATGCTTGTAGTTCTTCTTGTATTACCTCAACTAGTCTCTTGTAGGCTTCTTGAGATGTCAGTCCATCAGGCCTATCATTCTATTGGAACAATAAATATGATTTGCAAGATAAATAATGTATGAGCATGAGGTCTTGAAGATACCAAAGGACAGTGATGACACTTCAGCTTAGCTGTGTAATATAATCATGAGTAGATCCAAGCAGGATTCAAGATGCAGGAATCAAGATGTAGGATTAAAGATTTTCAAGTTAAAAAATCATCGAACCAAAGGTCAACGCCAACAATCTTGATTATCCGGGAGATTTGGGGCACTAACTAGTCCAAAATCCTGAGACTGCCGGATAATCAATGAAAGTTGGCAGCCCTGATAAAGAATGGATTACTGTATACCTGTTCTTCCTCAAGGGTTAATAGTTCCAAGAGTGCACTATTAGGGTCATCTATATCAACCTTTAATCGACAAAAATAAATATTAACCACAAGGAATTTTTGAGGTGCAATATTATGCTACACCACATTCATGCTGGTTGACTGATAACAAAGCATTTCTCATTAGCTTGAATCATAACAAAGATTGACGATGGAGATAAGTAAGCTTAAAGCTTTTATAACTTTATAAATCRAATAAATTAGATTTTCTAGTCTTTAAAGTTATAATCGCCAAAAGAAAACTGCATGTATTATCTGTATTATTCTTACCGAAGCTCCTTCACGGTGCCTCCAGCTCCAAGTTCGTTTTACCGAAGGACTAAACGACTCTGTTTCGGGAAACTTTTTTYCCGACATTGTTGTACTTGTCAAATTGAGTCACTCATCTTGTATGCAAGCGTCAGCTAAAATAAAAACAAGCTAACTAGGAGTAGCTTTTTAGTCGCTATTTTTGTACCAGCATTACAAGTTCACATTAGAGTGCTTGTTTTAATGAATATGACCTCATGCTCCATAAAAGAATGGTGTTTGTTGTCCCTAAACTCGAAGTTCGCACCGCCATCTTTGATCGAACTCCCCGCCACCTAGATTGCTACCCAGCCTCTTGGCTCATGATGACAAAAAGTAACTTACCAGGACCCCTAAGGATAAAACTCACCCAGTTATAAAATTAACCCCGGCCTCCTCTCCCTGTTGAATTTCTTTACAATCTCTGCTCAAAATTTCAGGCAAAAAGGAGTGATATCTTAAATTTAGCGTCATCCAATTTATTTTATATGTAGGGCTTCAGGGCCATCCAGCTCCTATTCGCCCACCCCTCCCTTCTTGGAGTTTCTGTCCCTTCTATCTGACTTACCACAGCAATCCCATGATGATGCCTTGCAGCAACTGTAACCATATTTCCTATAATTTTGATTGCAGGCTTGAAGTAAATTTCGTATGGAAAATTTTGGACTCAACTCTGCTCTCAGTGTTTGGACCCCCCTCTCAAAAATTATTGGATTTGCACTTGCAAGTCAGGTTTATAAATAGTAAATGTAGTGATAGTGTGTGTAAAGCCATCACAGAAGAGCCTTTCATGGAGTACAGGAGTATTGGTTGTGATTAGACGTACTATTAGAATAATCATCCCTCATGAATATAATCATGAGGGATGATTAGCCTAAATGTCCCTCGTGAGGCACAGTCTCTCATATAACAATCACAAGGACCATGACTCTGCATTTCCCAGTTGAAATCACTCATTGTATACAGGTAACAAAGAAAAATTAATGTATGCTCATGATTCCCTAGAGTTCATGATAATCAAGACTCTTTAAAAAAGACGATCATTAACTCTTCCCTAGGTTAGCCAAAGTCAACTATACCCAAAAGGTCATGCTATTACTTATAAATACATAATCATATAAACAAGACTGATACATTGGTTTTATTGATTTTATTTACTTTTGCATAAATTACCATTTCATAATAAATATACCTCCCTTATGTTCTTTCTATTCTCACTATTCAAAGAACAGAAATTTTTACATTATAAATGTTTTCATTAAAAAACTTCTAGAATTATTTCTCTGTGTGAAGAAAACAAAAAATGGACTGGGGTGAGCTTTTCATACTTTTTTCTCTCACTTCTATAGTCTGAATGAATGAGATTATAAAATAGGATTGCAATTTTTATTACATCCACTGTGGATTATCCAAGTTTTATCTCCAGATATATTAGCCAATCTGCTATTGAAGAAAAAACTGGTTTGAGTTGGCATTGCATTGTATTTTAATCTGTTCAGGTAAGTGCTTTACACAGATACATGGTTTTTACTTGTCTTCAGGTGATGCCATTGTCTGAAATTTTAAGAAAAGAGCAAATAAAAATACTGCAATAATAGATCAAAAACGGCTCCAAATGCATTTTCTTGTTTCGTGTGTACTTTGAAGATAGGAGTGTAAAAACGTTTGTTCAAAATTTCCAAAACCTAATTATTTTTTATTGCATCCTATGCAGATTGGCCTGGGGTTCAATTAAAGTTGAAGTCTCTCTTCTCCCTCCTCTCCCCTCCCCCCCCTCCCCCACCCACACAATCCCCCTCCCCCCAACACATACAGCCTCCCATACCCCTGGGTTAGCAGGAGGCAACCCATGATTTTTAAAAAGTGAATGTAACAGGGTACCTCAGGCCAATACCAAAGGAAACCCATAAAAACTTGTGGGAAAATGAGGTCTCAAATATGAGAGTTTCAAGTAAATTGAGTGAAAGTTTCTATGCGTTTACAGCTGTTATAAACAAATTTTTGTGCTGAATTATGAAAAAATCAAGTCTTCATACATACCATCATAATGATATAGAGTATATGATACATCAGATTAGATCAGGTTAGACACCATATTACCAGATGGTTGAATGTTGAATTGAGAGTGGAGTGGATTATCAGACTTTAGAATGGTCACCAAGAGCAGAAAATGATATACAAGAGTGGAGGAGTATTGAAGGTAGATTTGACAAATAAGAAATAGAAAAATGCAGAATTAACATTCATTTTGTCCTATCCTAGAATACTTTAGGACAAAAAACACACCATTCTCTCATTTGAAAAGTAGGAAAGGAGAGGAAGCAACCCAGATCCCATGAGAAAATGAATTCAAGGTAGGGATCATATTTGAATGGTATTTTCTTGGGAAGAGGAACTCTGATTAAACCCCAATTTGCTGAAAATCTTAGGGGTGCACGTGGGGAAGTGTGTGAGTTTAATCTCTTAATAAATATAATCATTGATCAAACATCCTATGTGAAAATATCACAAGATATAACACCATTTTTAAGAATCCCTAGGAAGTACTTAAAAGTAGTAAAAATCTACTAAAATTGTATTTCATTGATAATTATCATATATTAAACAGAATGTTACATGTCCGGTTGGATATGCAGATTTTATCTTCTCATAAGATATCACCTCAACACTCATACATAAAATCTATATCTCTGCGCGACCATGTAATATCCTCTATTTATTCTCCCCTGTCAACGAAGCACCTATCCTGGACAAATGTGGACCTACAGAAAAGATTCATACCTGTGATAAGAGTTGTCTGCCGAGGAAGTTTCCAGCAAAGCTTTTGATTTTCTTGCCTGCATCTTTTTTACACTTGATGTATCCAATCATGTTTGCAATATTTAGTCCAAGCCCAACCACTACCACAAGCTACCATAAAAATATAGAAAGAATCTCATTATGAAATGGGTATGTTGGGGGCTAATACCTCTTAACTAGTTTTGGTTACTGGTGTTCAGAAATAAATTGTATTATTTCATTTATCATTTATTATTTTTATTATTATTATTTATTATTATTACTTTTATTCTTAGTCTAAGAATGATTTCATTTTAGTTCATACACCATTCTCATAATGGCCTATGAGTACATGAAAACAAGGTCACCCAAATTGCAAGGCAATTGCCCAATAAAGGTGGTTAGCGCGAATTCAGGTCAAAACAAAAGGTCAATTTCTATACTTTTCTTCATTAAACCGGTTCATGTACTTTTACTTCTTTTATTGTAAACTAATGGCTTGGTGAGCTCGTTTTCATGCACTTGTCAGTCATTATGACAACGGTATATTTGGTGACTCACACACCAGCATTAAATGGTTAAACAGTTCAACAAACATAAAACCACAGGGTTCCCATTCAAACTCCCAGATACTCTGTATGGTTAGCCTGTGGCGTTACCTAGGTAACTTACTTACCAGCCACTTAAACTTCAAGGCAAAGAGAGCAGCAACCAAGAAGAATGTCCATATAATAGGACAAATAATTAGACCAAGCCAGAATAAGCGAGACTCTAAAGGTGTAACAATGGAATTATTCTAAAAATAAAAAAGTATATTTTCAAAGTCAAAAAACATGAAAAAAATACCTCTAACTAAGTAATCATTTTCCTGCTACAGTGGATTTCTGTTATCTTGAAATATCTTGAACTTTCCATTATCTCAAACTTGAGGTGTGTCCCATGGATTTGCATCACTACAGTTTTACCCTGTGACCCCTATTATTCCTGGTTCCCATGTGGTTTGAGACAACGTGACTCCAATGTACAGTATAATTAGCAATTATTCACYGAAGGCGAAGTGAATATGGTAAATGTTCTCCATATTCACTGAGCCTGAGGTGAATAATTGTTTTAGCATATACCAACTTGTCTACAGAGTAACTTATTTTTATATACAATAATTCAATAAAAACAAACAAACAGAAACTTTTAGTTTGCATGACAAATTCACGCAAAACGTTTAGCAAAACTTTTAGCAAAACTTTTAGGCCATACTTTGTTGCCTTTTTAGTATTGATAGGAATGGCATTTACTTTCATTTTTTCAATTTCCTCATCGCAAATTGTGGCAAAACGATTGCCGGCAGATGCCATTTTGTTGCCGACTCAATATTCCGAGATTCAGAGGTGAATATCGTACAATATTCACCTCCAATTAACTGATGAGCGTGTGCGTTCTTAGGAAGTACACAAGTTGGTATATGCTAATAAAGTATAAATTGATGATAAATTGTCTAAATGATCACATGTGCCCTTGAAGCTTCGCTGTTCATTTTTCAGACCATTTCTCATCCTTTAACTTTATCAGCCAATATCCCAGTTACTAGAAGGCAAGGAGGATAATGGGAGGGGGCTACAATGAAAAATAGGTTGTATTGAAAAAATAGAAAGCTAATGCCTGTTGATATGCATCTTGCTACTCTTATTTATGAATATAAGAATTAAGCAATTAGTTTTTTAATTGTGAGTATTTTTGCATTATTACAAACTGTAAATTTGAAACATCATTTCTCAAAAAGAGGGCCATAGCCCCCTAGCTCCTATATCGGCCTGGAAGGAGTTTATTTTAATTCAATATGGTTTACCTTTCTTGATTCAAAGACCCAATGGCTATTTCCATCTTCGTCGACATAATTCCACCATCGTAGTCCCACCAATAGACGACCACTTACATTCTTTACAGTCCAAAAGTCAAATGACAATAGCAAGACAATGATGATGAAATTTGTGATGAAGCTATCACTAAACCACCCACATAACAAATAGGCCACAACTGCAGTTATACGGAAGAACACATGGAAGAATGCAACATATGGATGTCTGGAAAAGAATCAAATGAGAAGTATTTATTAGATTCTATTAGATATAATAGATCCTCAAAAAATTATCCGGTCTTAACACTTCTGGTTTAGAGCTGGATGCACTATTCTTAATAATCATTAACTTATCTTGAATATATATGATAGATAAAAAGAAAACAATGCATACTGTATGATATATGCAGCGCTTAAAATAACAGCCAGACATAGGACAATGTTCGGCCAGAACTGGGACTTGTCCATTCAAATCTTTGTCTTGCCAGTCATTTTGACCAGTAAAATTAAGCCAGAAATGAGGTATGACTATCGTATGACTAAGCTAAAGTTAATTCTGTCTGTTATCATGACTGGCGACGGATAGGTTAGATTAATTAATTTTAGCCCTGATATACTCAACTGTTGAATAAAAAGGTATCAACCAATACTCATCTTAGTACTCATTTTTAAATCCTCTATATGTTTATCTTTAATATAAGACTAAAAATTGGTTTAGCTTTTTACTATTGTATATCATTAAATTTATAAAATTTATTTTTGTATAGCCTCCCTTATAGTCAAGGACATCTACTTTTTCCTCCCCCTCCCCTCCCCCATAAGATTCACCTGACTCTAAGTAAGACAGCAGAAAATAGACACAATAAAAAAATACATATGAAGGAAATGTGGTTATTCGTGGAGACTTCTATCTGCAGCTTCCAGACCAAAAGGAAGAGATTCATATAAACTGAAACAGTTCACGTAGTTTGATTTAGTAAATTTAATTCTTATAACAATCAGCTTTTTAAGGATAATTTTCATAACTTTGATAGTTTTTTCCATCTAATCGAATTTTCGTTAGTGATTTATTAAGTTGAAAGCGTGGCAATAAGAGACAAAAAACATCCGACAACAGATATAAAATGTAAATCAAATCTTCAACCAAAAACACACATCTCACCTAAGCTTTTTCCCTCTAGTGGATTCTTCTTCGTCGCCAAAATTTAGTGCTACGTCTTCTGTTGCATCAAGAGGGTTCTAAAACAGAATAATAATACTTTAAAGATAAGGATTCGTACGTAAAGAACGAAAATTCATTGAATCAAACTATCTTACCACGGCCGCCATCTTGGATTTGTCGTAATCTGACCGAGTTGTGTTGGCGATTCCAGAAGAGACTGGGGCGACTTCTACCTGATTTAGTGGGAAGTGGAGGGGATACCCGCTACTCTGGATTTTGTACTCGGAAGTCTTTAAGATTAAAAGCCCTGTTTGAATATATACTATGCGACGTTTTTCTGTAAAGAAAGATTCATTCAGAAAACCAGCAGCCAGCCTTGCAAGGAGCCATGCAATAAATGGAGTTCGTCCAATAGAACATGGTCTCTTGGTTCGTCACTATTATTTTGACCTTCTCCGATCCCGAGGCGTGCAATTCACAAGCTCATTTCAACTTCGTTATTCGTTAGAATTTTAGTAACTATTTATTCTTCTTTAGAAGAAAAGAGTTTTCTTACACTGCACACGCATTGATATGAGTTTCTATAATATTTACATATTTCAAGTCTCACCGACTCAGCGTTCCTCCTTAACGAGCGCATTGAAGAAAAAGCAACTAATAAACCTTGTGCAGGTTTGCTCAAAAGGTTTGCCACATTACATGGTTAAACATTTGCTTATGTACATGCGTTGGTTTTGGTCAAGTAACTAGTCCAGAACAGAACCGCCCCTTCTCTCCGTCTGAATAGACATGTTAGAGTGCCTGAGTTCTTTCTATAGTTTTAGATAAAATTTAAAGACATAATTAATTATTATTTCGGTTAATTTTTAGCCGTTTCAGTTAAACTTTTCTTGTGTACAAAGAGAAGGCAGAGCTACGCTGTTCGTTATCCATTCCCCTCATCGCAATCAGACGTCTGTCGCCGTTTATCGATAAGCGTGGATAGCTTTCAAGAGGGTTGAACCCACTAGGTTGCTCGTGTTGTGTTCCAAGAAACTCCGGGATAAAGCCTCGTCTGCGATTGTAGCACCACGGAATACTTTGACCATGCGATTGGTAACGAGTGGAACAGAAGGAAAACCAAGGATAAACGCTATAGGTTGGGTTTGGTGTTTTGGGGCCTGCTTTAGCTCTTGTTCTTCGCGCTCTGTGATTTTTAAACCAAACCTTTAAAAAGAAAATTGCAGTGAATTTATTTTTAACGAAAGACACAATATTGCATGTTATTTCTCCCGGTTTTTCTTCAATTTAATATACCTCAATGTTAAATAAACATACCTTGATTGAAGAATAAGATTTATTGAACTTTTCGGCCAAATGTTCGCACAACCCTCGCGATGGATAGCGGTAATTGAGGAATACTTGTTCTAGTTCTTGTTTTTGAGCAGCGGTAAATACGGTTCTCTTTCTTTCTGCAGCATTATTCTGCTGGAATGTTTGAGGAGTGTTTCCTAAATAATACGACGATAAAAATTGAAACATAAAGCACGATAAAACGTAAAGTTTGATAAGAATCATGATCTTGTCAACAACTATTCCTGCTAAAATTAATTCTTAACAAATTTTAGTAACTGATATTTGTATTTTTCGTATCTTAAGTCATCGTAGAAAAAAATGTCAAGAGATTTTAAAAATTAAAAGAGCAAGCTCCAGTAACTTGTAGCCTATATATCTAATTTTTCACTAAAACAGTAACGTAACAGTCACTAGTTCAGCACCTTACCTTTGCGAGGCGTGTCGCCATCACCACCAGACCTTATGCATCTTTTTTTCTCCAGCTTAAATCCATTTAAGTCTTGATTTTCCTGAACATAATCAGTTTTTATCATTAGCAGCCCAGGCGAACGGGATTGTTCTGCTTTATGCATCAGGGACACATTTTTGTCAAGCATTTCTTCTGCCATTTTTCAAAATACAGTGGTATCCGCCAGATCTCTGAGCACCTTTTTCAGTAGAGATTAAGAAACTCTTTTTCTTACAATTTGTCTTTARAATTTATATAATTGATTATCGTTATATCGCAACGACTTTAATATGATTCGAAGCTAAGACATTATACGTCATCTTGTGACGTCAAAATTCTCTTATTAGAACTCTTTACGCTCCCAGTTTTCGGGAAATTGACTGGACGTGATATCGAAGCCAACCTTCATGAAAATAACAAATAGATAGAAGATAAATTGACGGTAATATTCTTTGAATCTTACGCATTACACGGTCTCAAGCTTTTTCTTTCTTTCTTTCTTTCGTCCGGTTGTTGTTGTTGTTGTTGTT